GTGCTGTGTAACACCGTTATTAATTTTCATGTGTGCAGAAGACAGCCCATTCATATGCACAAATTGTACTCTGTTATAATATATGATTTGACCCAGTGCACCGCAGTTTCTTTAATACCAGTGTTGTGTTTTAACATGACAAGTACCAAGTTCACTGTCAGAGGTCACGAGGTCATTCTCAACCTTCACTAGTGCTGTTTCTGTGCTATGATGAAACTCTTCAAATAGACCATTCCTCTACAACTGATCAGTCAGGTGTTTGATAACTACTCTTTCAAGAATTTTAAAAATAAGAGGAAGGTTGGACATTAGACAGCTGTATGTCTTTAAGTAGCAGTTTAATTTAGACACACCTTGAACCCTGTGTTACAAATGCAAGTGTGACTTGACAAGATCCTCTAAAAGACTGTCTCATGGTGCCAAATGCAGCTGCAGCATTACTTCTAAAACTCCAGCCTCATCGTATTTTTTATGATGATCTATTATAGTGATGATTTTATATTAGGAAAATACATTTACAATGTAGATTTATTGCTATTGTGTGCTTTTAATAACCTTACTTTGAAGTTGTTGAATTGTTTTGACACAAAATGAGTCTTAATTAAAAGCATTTTATTTGATTTCAGTTAATGCAAGTTTGAGTTGTACATCAAAAAGGAAGGGATCCAGTTTTAGAGACAGGCCACAAATTGAGTCGTCATCATGAACACTGTCACTTTAACACAGATTATTTTATGGTAAGCTATGGTGTGTGTATTTGATGCCTGGAACATCACTTTTCTTAAATCTTAAATCTCTTGCAAATAATTTTTCATGTGGAATCACACACTAAACTCTCTTTCACCACGGCTGGACTTCCTTGTCGGAGAGATATTTTCCCTGAGGCTCTTTGGCTCCTGGAGGCAACAGGGCCAGGTAGACAGGAGTGATGGCGCCCTCGTCTGGTGACTTGGGAGCACCTGGTGCAGCGAGGTCAGTGCGCACCCATCCTGGACAGCAGGCATTCAAGAGGATCTGGAAAAACGAATAACAAATCCGAGTCCATGAATAAGAAACGAGGTTTCAGTGGACTCCAAAGGTTCGGAGATGGCTTTGTATGTAAGTTCATTAGAGCTTGTCTTATTTTAGTTACCCCATCATTTGGTCTCTCCTTAGACAGACGACGAGCATGAATCATGGACAGCACCTTAAAACACAAACAAACACCCGTTTTTTTATTCAGAGTCTCAGAGAAAAAAAAGGCTTGAATTAATTCAGTTAATCAGTTCATTAGTTAACCTCCTAATCTAACATCCTGTAGAAAAACTGGGTAAATGTACCGTCACTCCAATCTTAGACACTGCATATGCCATATCAGGCCAACCATGTTGCTTGTGTTCGCCTTTCTTGGCATCATCGAGGAATTTTCTCATCAGTGCCACCAGCTCGTCCTCTGTGATGTCCTCGCTGCGGAAACGCTGCTGGAGTTCTGGACTGCATTGCTTTAAACCAGTGACGCTAAGCATGCTGGAGATATTCACCACACGACCTAAAATGCATACAAAGAACTGCCGTTCACTGCTGCTCCAAAGCAACACCTACCATAATGCTACTTCCACCATGTTCTACAATAAGGGTGGTATTTCTGGTGTTTTGTTTAATTACATAGCTCTGCAGAGGACTTCTGTTAAAGTGGAGTCTGGGTTACTCAGCTTAGGCAGAACTATACATCTTCCATTTTACAGCTACGTCAGTGAACTTTAGAAACACTCAAAATTATAGAAA